TACAAAGTGACCCATTTTTTTTACAACTCACCCCTGTAAAATCATTAATTATTGTGCGATTTTAACCGGATTTGTTTTAAGGTGTAGATCTTGATAAACTGTATATTTGGAGCAAAAAACGCCATATTTGTACAAAATGCAAGGCCTACTATGTCAGTTTTTAAAGGTAATTTTTTAAGAATTCATATTAGCGATTTTTTTAAACAAAATCTAAGCACGGCACTGGATTCCCCACCCCCTCAAAACGACCCTTTACTAAACTTTATTAAAAAATTTTAAGTAGAAAAATGCACAATAACTACAAAAATTTATCGTCGTTATCCATGAAAAAAAACATTGAAATAAAATTAAACTTATAATAAGTATACCATGTTATAACATAAATACTATTAGTTTAATTTTATTTCAATGTTTCTTTCATGTATAACTTGACAAAATAAATTTTTGTAGTTATTATTTCTCTATATTTTTCTATTTACATTTTTAATATAATTTAGTATAAGGTGGTGAATCCAGTGCCGTGCTTAGATTTTGTTTAAAAAAAATCGCTAATATGAATTCTTAAAAATTAACTCTTAAAAACTGACATAGTAGGCCTTATATTTAGTAAAAATATGGCGTTTTTGCTTCAAAAATACAGTTTATCAAGATTTTACCTTTAAAACGAATCTGGTAAAAATCGCACGATAAATAAAGATTTTACAGGGGTTATGTAATAAAACATTTTTTTGCCATTATACCTGCAAGACCTATCATATACCAATACCAATACCAATTTAAATCAAATAAATTATTTATTTCAAAGTACTCCATTTTTATTATTTTTAATATTTTGTGTTTTATAAGAAAAATAATAATAATTATTATTATTACTAAATAATGTATGGCAGATATAGCACGAAGCACTGGACAAAATAAATCTGATATATATCCCAGATACTAAAGATACGTTGCGACCTCCGAAAATCCGGCAACACTGTCGGAGGATACAAGGCTGTTTGTTTCTCCGAAATTATATATATATTCGGAGGTGACTTTGTATCTTGAGTATCTCCAGTTTGCGTAAAAAAATTGACATTTTAAAAAATTCAAAATTGCTTCCCCTCTTGTGGTGGCGTTAATATTTAAGGCTCCCCCCCGCAATATATGCAATCAAAATAAAAATCGTCCATTCCGCAGACCCGGAGGAGAGGTGGCCCTCTCAACTTAACGGAGGTCACAGCTGACCACTTATCTATATATATATATATATATATATATACAAGGTGTGTTCAAAAAATAACGGGAATTGTTAAATTTCGCGGCTTCGGAGGGTCCGGTTGTCATAAAATTTTATTTATTATGTTGGTATACATGCCCCCGAAGTATGATAAAAACTTTAGCTGTTTTCATTGTTTACTTTGTCTGTGGCAGCCGCTAAGGTTAGACGTGTTTAATGAACTCGGCGATTTTCGTTCGTTAAAAGAAATGGATCAAAGAGAATTTGTATCCAATTTTGCTTAAAAAATGAAATAAATTCTGTGAAATGTTAACAAAGGCCTATAGTGAGTCTGCTATAAGTAAAACAAGAGTTTACAAGTGGTATAAGAGTTTCCAAGATGGCCTTGAAGACGTTGAAGATGGCGAACGCCCCGAACGCACAAGCACAATAACAACCGATACAAATATGGAAAAAGTGGAAGAAATGGTTATAAACCATCAGAGAAGTCGCTGATGATGTTGGTATATCGATTGGCTCATTCCATAAAATTTTTTCAAATGTTTCGGGTATGAAACGCGTTGCAGCAAAATTTGTTCCAAAATTGTTAAATCTTGAAAAAAAAATTTGGCCAAAAACAATACTGTAATGATGCCCCAGCCTCCATATTCGCCAGACATGCCTCTGTCTGACTTTTTCCTATTCCCAAAAATAAAGAGAACCCTAAAGGGCCGTCGTTTTGCAAGCATAGATGACATTAAAAGCGGATCGCTGAAAGAACTAAAAGCTATCTCATCGAGTTTTAGAAGTGTTTCGAGTATTGGAAGAAGAGCTGGCACATGTACATAATATACAATGGGGACTATTTTGAAGGCGACAACATTAATGTAGACGAATAAATAAATATTTGTTTCAAAAAACGAAAATTCCCGATATTTTCTGAACATACCTCGTATGTTCTTGAGCCTTATAGGTAAACTTTTTCAAGTTTTATTGGTTTTTGACTTGTTCTGGGTGGGCAGTCTGAGTAACTCTTTTTCTTCCAAAATTTGAAATTGTAGATGGTACATAATATTGTAAATTATTTCTTGTGGAATAATTGTGCTCATCACAGTTTCTTGTTAGTGTTACATCTGTATTAATTAAATTATTCTCTATTTTGTAAATAAATTTTAGACTGTCCAATTTAATTAATCCATTAATATTTAAAATGTTTAATTCATTGTATAGTTCAGTTGTGTTAGTTCAAAACTTATTTTAAATTTATTAACGTCCCTAAGAATAAATTGTAATGTTAGTATTAATAATATTAACTATAAAAATTAAAGTAAATTAATTGTTTTCTTGAATAATAAAATTATTTAATTTAAGTAGTATTATATGCTTATTAAATTGCAGTGAAAAAAATACTGTTTTGCACTGTCAAAAATGACCTACTTTTATCACTTAAATGAAAGCAAAAAAAGCCGACTTTTTGATAATGGTATTTAAAAATAGTAATTTATGCAACAAGAGTATAAAGCGACACTTTTTTTGCAAGTGTGAGGAACTTTTATAAAACCTCATAGTGCAAAAAATGCTTATATATTCTAGTTGCATACATTATTTTTTCTAATACCATAATAACTTCATAAATAATTACTAAAATTGTGAAGAAAGAATTTTGACATGAAGATGCCAACATCGTTGGTGAAAAGTACTTTAAGCCCTTTGTGTTTTGTTTTGGTGTCTAATATTTGATTTCATTAACAATAAAAATTAAACTAATAATTATTGTTTTCTTGAATAAAAATTATTTAATTTAGATGTGCTGATTTAATTGCAGTGTAAAAAACTTTTTTCTACAAACGAGCGAAAAGTACAAATTTGTAGGTATAATTTATTTTTTAAGTGAGTTTTATCAAAAACGACCATAGAAAAAAAATCAAACTAACTTTTACAAACCCAGCGAGGGTTTTACCATTAAATAGGGATACTTTCAGGAAAAAACAATTAAATCTGGTTTAAACTTTGCGTTGCACTGTGGCACACACAAAACATTACTAAGTTAATGGTTTTATTTTTATAATTTCGTAAAAAACGTTTTAAAAAAGGGGAAATTGTTACAGTTCTTGGTAAACAATATGATTTTTCCATCAGAATTGCGTCTTATATTTTTAAATATAACATTCCAAGGAAAAATAAAATAAAATAGGGCCCTTAGACTGCTTATGAAATAATGTGATTGTATTGTAAATATTAATGTTTTGTTATTTTAAATTTGTTACTAGATCCTTTAAATTTGTTACTAGATCCTAGCAAGTTCTTTGCAACACTCTTAATGTAATCAGGGATATGAAAATTGATTACAAGCTTTTTCCAGCGAACTTATATGTATACTTATATTTAAACTTGTTAATAATTTAAATTTTAAAAATCAATGGGCCCACTCATGGCAGTCTAAGATTAACCATTATTTAATGTAATTATAAACTTTTTTCTAATTCCTGATCGATTGCAGCTAGAGGCTCCCGAGACCAAAATATTAAAAATCTTTTTTAGTTTTGACTTTATATTTTGTTTTTTTTTCATAGCATGTTATTCTTTAGAAACTTGAAATCTCCGGGGTATTTTTTTTTAATCAGTTATAATTTATGGTAAAGCTGGGTCCTGAAATATTTATACCAGTGTACCTATAGGTATATGTATACATATCTGTAAAAATTTGTAAATTTTTAGAAAAATTGACTTGCATTTTTTCGTATTACTCTTTGAATAAAATGAGAAAAATGCAAGTCAATTTTTCTGAAAATTCCACACCTGTAATTTTTAACCAATCAAAACGTGTATTTTTGATAGATCACCATGGCAACGGTTGAATTTTAGTGGAAATTTTTTCCTCGTGGGTACCCAACAGCGAATTTTACTGGAAATTTTTTGACGTTTATAATGACAGAATATTTTTTTGACAATCTGGTTTTTATTTGTTTACATGATAATTTTGATACATTTCCATTACAAAGTTTAGATGTTTTCTATATTCGTTGGACACCTCCTTTCTTCTTAATGGCGAAAATGCAGGACTTGAAATAAATTAAATGTCTATGTCTAATGAAATATATATAATATTTAGACACTATTCTATTCACCTTTTTTCCATTTAGCACTTTGAGTTTTGAATAGTTAAGATGCAAATATTCGTGAACAATTCAAAACAAATTTTCTTTCTTCAAGTAGGAGCCACAATCCTCTAATAATGCGGGTAAATAAGTCATTGCACGATGATTGATCATTACAGCAGACAATTTTACATTTTTTGACAGCTTCAAAACTGAAATAACTTTTAGGTTGGGGTTGACTTAGTTGCCATGGTAACTAAATAATCAAGTCGAGGTCAAGTTAAATCAAAAAATAAATTTTAATTATTTAAACACAATTTGGTGTGGAATTTTCTTACCGAATACCACACGAGTTCAAATTAAATCCGGAAATTTTTTGACCTCTAGTGGTATTACTAGTGAAAATTTCCCAAATTTTTTTCCGGAAAAAAACTGTTTTTTTTCGCCGGCTCATTTTTTCCGATACTTTTAAAACCCTAAATTTTAGATAGTTTTTGTTGGACGCAGAAAGACTACTTAAGATTTGGGGGCCCTTCTGGACCGGGGCGGACCGCCCCCCATTAGTCCGCCACTGATTCCAAGTGGTTCATGGGATCCTTTAAAATTCTCAGGTGACATTCTCAAAAATTTTGAGCGCAACAATTTTCTAATTTTTTAAGAAAATGTAAAGTTTTTAATTAATTATAAAAAGAATGATCTCTTACCTCCTCCTCATACTTGAAAAACCTCCCGTCTGGCGAAACAGCAATCGGCTTGTAGACATCGTCGTCGTCATCGGCCGTCTTACCCTCCTTACCCAAGCTGACCACAATGGGCTGCTCGACCATATCCGGATTGTTCTCCGCGTTCTCGTCGTTCCGGTGCAGCTTTTCAATGGTCTGTTCCGTAATCTCGGTCATCTCCTTGTTCTGGAACAGGTTCTTCGGAATGCTGTACTTGATCCTGCCGGCCTCCAAGAGCCGCTGATCCGACTCCATTTGAACTTCGGTGTCTTCCTCAGCGTTGGAGTCGGTCTCTATGGGGATGAGCGAGGTTACGCCGCCGTGCTTGACGAACTTTTTCACTTTGCGGTGCTTGTCGACGATCAATCTGTCCACGTTTTCCGAGATTTCTGACATAACTTGATGGATCGCGATTTCCGAGTCGGGCATTTCGCTGCAAGAATCGTGGAACTCTTCATAATCCTCCACGAAACTCCTCGCGTCCATCAGCGTATCGGCCGAAGGGGTTTTGATGATTTTTGGCGGATACAAAGGCTTCAAAATGTCCCCAGTGTTGCAACTTATGCGACTTTTAAAATGCGGCGCAATCGCTGCAATATCCTTGTTCTCGCTTTTAGCCAACTGTTGCTTGATGATGCTCTCTTTAGCTTGCTTGTTTTTCTCGCTCTGCAATTGGTTCGTAGCGATTATCTCAACGGCCATGTCTATGATGTGGTTGAGCACCTCCTCCACCACCGGCTGTATGTCCGAGCGGTGGGCCTCCAGGGAATCTTTGGAAAAAAGTGCTTATTTTTAATTTAAAAAAATGGCTTTCATACTGCATTTTATTTTAAAAGCAGCAAGTTTTATTTTTATGTTTGAAATAACTCGAAATTAGACTGAGCGGCTTTTAAAACGGTGTACTCGTGATAAAGGTCATCCTTTAGGAAATTTTAGGATTTTTTTATCGCCGCGCGGAGATTTTTCCCGGCCCTTCATGGCAAAAAAAATTGGTAAAACAGATACATTTTTTTTTTAACAAAACGACACATTTTGCCAATATAAAATATGCGACAAATCAAATTTTGTCCAATTTAAAGAAAAAATGTATAAAGTTTAAAATTAAAAAAAATCTGCACAAAAAAAGCTAAAAAAGTAAAAAAAAGGAAATGCGCTTTATCTACACTTACATTGATCTAAGATTTTAGTATGAAAATCATGGAAATAAAGAATTTAATAAAATTTACAAACAAAGACTTTTTCATCCTATACCCTTTAAAACAAAATAAATATGAAATAGTTCTCTACCAATGATATTTGTTTTTTGTTTCCATATAATAATAAAACATATCACCATCCATTCTATCATCTACGCCGGCAAAACACTAAAAAATCGCACAAGGCCAAAAACGACCTTTTCTGTAATAAATTTAATACAAACTTGTCATAACGACATAACCTTAAATGTCAAGAAGTGACATTTAAAAATTAAAACCATAGACAAAGATAAAATAGATAGGTATATTAAAAAAAGTTAAAATTTGTTAATAGTAACAAAGTTCAGACAGCTGTCTTATTTGAATTGTCCGTATATGGTAACACTTTTAAATATGGGTTTTAACCCCCCGCCCCCCCCAACCTATCCCTTGTCTATGGTTTTAACTCTCTAAAATATGTTTTTACATTTTTAAATTTATTTTCGATATTATTAATAATATTAATATTATTATTACCATCCAAAATTTGTTTTTCTACTCGCGTTGTACTTTTCCACACGCAAATGCGTTAATAGGCCTATAAGATTATTAAATAGTATTCATAGATGACTGAAGGTATTTATAATTAAAAACAAAAAACTATTGCTAATATATATACAGGGTGTGGTAGGACAACACAAACTTTTGTAGAAATTCCATGGCTATGAACGTTGAAATGACCTTAATTTTATTTTTTCACTGTCACTGTCAGTGTTTTGGTTTTTTATTTTCAGGAGAAATGTTAATTTTTTTGTGTGGGACAAATATACCTTTTCTTTTTGTTATTTTTTTTTTAACTTGTGACTTAATAAATAAGTTAATACAAGGTTGATGGTGATATACTTTACTTTACCTTTTTTAAATAACTTAAAATAATTATTTTATTAATATTAATAATTAATTTTAACATTATTATTTAATTAGAGATAATTGAATGAATATGTAATAATCACAATCCACACTGTTTTATCTTGTTTCGCGCATACTAAAAATCACGCACAGAATCTAACGGCAGCCATTTTTATGTTTATAATAAAAATCGTTGTCTTTCTTACAAAGGCACTTGCAAGCCTCAAATGAGGCCTTTAAGTGCTAAGAACAACCATTTTAAACCTTATTCTATCAGGGCACATTTAGTATTATTTTACAATAAAGGTACTTTATTTTAACGATTGCATGTCATTTGACAACTGTCAACTAACTTAAAATTAACTTCAGGGCGTGACTAAAAACCTGTTGCTAAGTTCTTTTAAATATGTTTGAAGTACATTTAACTCTCTTAATCAATATGTATATAACTGTCTTAAAAATATCAAGTTAACAACTAACATCAAATAAAAAATGACAAATGATTGTTGTTAATTGTTAAAATTACAATAGTTATAAGTTGCCATTTTTGGAACACTCTGTATATTCTGTTTTGTTGATTAAATTAAATAAAATGTTAAAATTATAGCGGATTATTCGTAAATTAGCTTGTGAATTGTCGAAGTTAGTCACATTATCACGAATTTATTGAAAATGAATCATTGACAAAGTAAAATATAAATAATACTTATGCTTCAGGTTTGTGCTGTTATAGATAAATAATCGTTTTAAACGTTTTGTTTCTAACAAAGGCACTTATAAGCCTTAAAAGAGGCCTTGAAATGCTAAGGGCAACCATTTCACTCCTATCTTGTTAAAAATAAACCTTATTCTATAAGGGCCGTCATCAAACTCTAAAAGTTATGGTAAATTAACATTAAAATTAACAGTTAACAGTTTGATGAGAATAAGGTTTAGTTTTTACAAAAGAGGGGTAAAATGGTTGTCCTTAGCACTTTAAGGTCTCATTTGAGGCTTGAAAGTGCCTTTGTAAAAACACAACATTTAAAATGATCTGTATAAACAGCACAACCCCAAAGCACAAGAATTGTAAACAACATAAAAATGGCCGTCGTTAAAATCTGTGCAGTGGGTTGCCCAACGTGATTTTTAGTGTGAGCGAAACGAGATAAAACAGATTGCTGTTTGTATTGTGAGAGTATTTTAGTCCAAATATTTAAAACAGCAATACCAACTTTTAAAATTAAAAATACTAACAAATGCCAACATAATTAAATATGTCAACATCCGAATAAAAAAATTAATCAAATAGATATAGCCAACATGAAAAATCGAAAATCACTTACATTATTAAAATTATCCATAAAAAAAACTTAGCACAACCGACAAAATCGAGTAATAAAACAGAAATAAATGTGTGAACTAATAATTGAACACTACTTTATCTGAAATATTTCGTATTATTCATCGTATGCGGTGACGCTGAATGCAGCCTGTGTGTAAATTGAGATTTTGTTTATTAATTTTTAGCGCGATAACCGCCGGCCAATCGGATTTTCAGTTTTGATAAACAAGTGTGCTTGCAATTTTTATAGTATTGCCGTATTTGTTTGATGCTTTTGAAGAAAAAGTTATTCTTTATTAAAGTGCCAAACTGCATTTTAAAATTTAATGAAGTGTAATACATATTAAAAATAATTGTTTCCTACCTTTTTTCCCTCCTTCCTCCCTTCCTTCGGCTTCCTCTTCATTTTTAAACTGTAGCTGCACATTACAAAATCTTTTTCTAAAAGGCGCTAAATTTTCTATAATATTATCATACGGTATGGAGGAGCAACTATGAGTCCTAATTTTTTTCTCGATTTTTTCATTCTCCTTTTCATCTTTGATAAAAGTATACCTGAAAATAATGTAATCGTTAAAAACACTACACAATATAATATTCACCAATATTATTACTTTGCCCCCATTTTTCATGTCTAAAAACTAAAACAGATGATCAATTTGGTTCTTTGAAAGAAAATAAAAATATTTTTGCCTGGGCAAATATACCTATACCTCAACCCAAACTTGTTGACAAGACATTAACTAAATTCCAATGAAAATAATATAATACTCATATAATATTATTATATTGATTTTATTGACAAAGTATTAAGAAATAAAAATTTGGTAAACAATTGTCTGCTAGAGTAAACATTTTTATTTAAACTACCTGAAGAATCAACCAAAGAATTAAAAAATGCTATAAATCTTTTATACAGGGTGTTTCAGAATAAGATGCTGAACCTTAAGGGTGTGAATCCTTAGTTGATTTTAAGAAAAAAAGTTCAAATAAACCTATGACCTAAACCTCCTAATTTTTGAGTTAGAGGTTTTACAGTTTTAAGAAAAAAATCGTTTTTTTATCATAACTTTAATAACTTCCTAGATATTTTTATAAAATTTGGCACACTCCTTCTAAGCATTAACAGTAAGTTTTTGTTCTAGAAGATTTTTTATTTTTTTGGAAAAATATTATGCACGCCACTGCTATTTTTCAAAATAAAAATTATTTTTTAAATCCCCATTCATTTTAGGGCAAATTTGATTTCTTGACCATTTTTCGTACGACCAACGGTTTTCGATGAAAAAAATAAAAAGCAATGAGGAGAAGAGCTGAAGCATGCATATTTGCAGCTAATCTAAATTATTTTTGTTTTTGTTTACGTTAGTTCTTTTAAAATTATTTTATAATTAAATTAAATTTTAATGTTTATTTAATCATGGCATTGTTTTCTCAATATGCGCATTAAATGCTTTTTATTTTATTTAACCATTAGGGGTTCGAAATCTGGTCAAGAAATCAAATTTGCCCTAAAATGAATGGGGATTTAAAAAATAATTTTTATTTTGAAAAATAGCAGTGGCCTGCATAATATTTTTCCAAAAATATCTAGACCACATCCTGTATGGACGCCACTGGTAAAAAAATAAAAAATCTTCTACATCAAAAAATTACTGTTAATGCTTAGAAGGCGTGTGCCAAATTTTATAAAAATATCTAGGAAGTTATTAAAGTTATGATAAAAAACGATTTTTTTCTTAAAACTTTAACACCCTGTAACTCAAAAATTAAGAGGTTTAGAATATAGGTTTATTTGAACTTGTTTTCTTAAAATCAACTAAGGATTTACACCCTTAAGGTTCAGCATCTTATTCTGAAACACCCTGTATATAAGTACACTGAGAAAAAAATGGGACAAATAAACTGTGTAGCTAATACTTTTATTAATAGTAAATATATTGTTTATTACCTCTAAATAGTCGAAATAATAACGATAAATATATAATATATAATAGGTACTTTAGTAAAACTTTATGTATCGGGAATAAAAATATATTTAGGATAAATAAACTGTACCCTTGTCCCATATTTAAATATTTTTTTTATTTGGGAACAATAAACTTTTTTCTCAGTGTATTATCAAAAAATTATTAAAAATGTTAATGCTATGTTAATTATTGTCAATTTTGGGTAAAACCGATTTAAAATCGGACAAAAATTGTTCGTTCGGCTGAATACGATTTTATTTTGTCAAAAACATAAAAATGATTTTATGAATAGGATCGCATTAAAAGTTACGATAACATTACCTAAAATAGTACTATTATTTGTCACGAGTCAACAAATCAATAGAGAAAAATATTCCGCGTCGAATGAAGTATTTTCATACAGTGAGTGTTATAATGTGAAAATTATTGTACGCTTGAAAAAAATTGTATATTATGTATCAAGTTTGATAAACGCCATTTTAGACACAAATTTAATGTAGGTACGAGCGAGCTGGCTAGCTTGTGCTTAAATTAATAAAAATGATTTAAATTAAATATTTGTATAGAGCGACATAAATTGAAATGTATTCCTTAAAATGAATTAACAACAGTTTTTCACAGTGAAAGTGAAAAAAATGTTTTATGAGCACTTCACGGTGGAGTACGAGCCAGAAATTTAAGTTATATCTAGTTTACTGCCGGCGAAATTAAAAGGTCAGTACAATGTTCATATAAACTTTTCAAATATTGAAGTTACGAAACTATTTAAAACTTTTTTAATGAGATAATAAAATAATGTTCACATTTAGTATTATTTTACAAAAAGGCACTTTATTTTAACGTATGACATTTGACAACTGTCAACCCTTGTGGAAATTTTTCTCTGAGAAAGTCTTACTTTCTCTGAAAAAGTCTGAATAATACTTATTAAGTCGGAAAAAGTCAGAATAAGACTTATTAAGTCGGAAAAAGTCTGAATAAGTCTTATTAAGTCAGACTAATAGCAAGATTTGGGAGTCTTCTGGAAGAGTTAATAAGACTTTTTAAGACTTAATAAGACTTTTAGTAGAGAAATGGTAGGTACCTATGGCGATAAAAATAAATATCCGAAATAATTCATAGAGGTTGTATTTGGTTATCGTAAAATAAAACACATAGACAAGTATTTATTAACATTTTTGCTGTTGTTATAAGCCAAGTTTATTGCATAATTACCTATATACTGACATAGGTAAGATGTAATAATTATAACAATTATAATTTTATACATACGATGCGCTTAACATGCTTTCATTGTTTCCAACATAGAAAAAGGAGTTAATATCAAGTCTATAGACATGATATTTTCGATAGACTCGTAAGACAAATATGCACAGAACATAACAAATATGGTTGATCTTCGTGTTTCATTCATCTTTGTATCATGGTTGATCTTCGTGTTTTCGTACAGTGTTGCCATAAAAGTTCCTGACCATAAATTACAAAATACTAAAATATTAATAAAAATGTAACAAGATAGAATAAAATAATTGTGCATACTTATTTAGTAAATATACAATATTATTTACTGAAAATTTCTTTTGTTATTATTTTGATAGAAATTTGCAAATCACCCGCAAATATTATGAAAATACCCGATTTTCGAGTAAAATACTTGCAAACGGCAACACTGTGTCCCACTGACAGGTCAGCTGTGCTCTAATTGGTCAGCTAGCTAAGCTGGTCTCTCGATATTACGTCTTACGTCTATTGTTTGTAACAATGTTTAAATAGGTAAATATTTGCGTGTATCAAAAGAAACTATTAAAATAAAACGTACAGTGGCAACTCCTTTTTCTATGGTGGAAGCATGCATGTCAAGCGCATCGTATGTATAAAATTATAATTGTTATACCTAATTATTACATCTTACCTATGTTATTATATAGGTAATTATGCAATAAACTTGGCTTATAACAACAGCAAAAATGTTAATAAATACTTTTCTATGTGTTTTTTTTTTACGATAACCAAATACAACCTCTATGAATTATTTCGGATATTTATTTTTATCTCCGTAGGTACCTACCATTTCTCTACTAAAAGTCTTATTAAGTCTTAAAAAGTCTTATTAACTCTTCCAGAAGACTCCCAAATCTTGCTATTAGTCTGACTTAATAAGACTTATTCAGACTTTTTCCGACTTAATAAGTCTTATTCTGACTTTTTCCGACTTAATAAGTATTATTCAGACTTTTTCAGAGAAAGTAAGACTTTCTCAGAGAAAAATTTCCACAAGGGAACTAACTTAAATCTAACTTCAGCCTGTGACTATAAATCTGTTGCTAACTTCAGTCCGTGACTAAAACGCCATAAAGCCTCAACTTGTCAATGTGTATTTAAAACGGCACTTAGTGTCATGGAAACATGTACGATAATGGGCGTTTTAAAGGTGGGAGTAGAAAAACACATTTTTACGATAAAATTAAAATTAAAAAAAAATTATGGTACCTACTTAATATTAATATTTTTGAAAAAAACGACTTTGTGCAATAAAACTTTGATACAATACAACAAGTTTAGATAATAATTATATTTTCGTAAAATAGTCGATATATACTATAAAGATGATTTTATGAATATATAGCGTTAAAAACGCTTTTTAAGGCGACTTTTCTTGGAATTAAGACATTATATGCACGAAAAAAAAGACAAAAGTAAGCTATTGTTACTAGTTAAACAATGAAAATATTGTTCCATGAAAAAGACGAAAAAGAAAAAGAAGGCAATAAAATAACAGGTATCTTTACGTACTGATAATACCTACATACTTTCATAAATATGATTCACATATTTGTAACAAAATGTTACTTATATTAATAAATTTTATTAAAAGATTAAGGAGATATAATTTGATTGGGAAAAAGTAAGGTTAATTTCTTCTGACCGATGTTAGGTAGTATATGAGAGGTGACTAGGTATGATGATTTTGGAATAAGCTTTGTCAGTTTGCTTGCAATTTATCAGCTGTTTGTTATTGTTAATGTTAACTAAGTATATTAATATATGCAACTCATGAAGAATGGTCGTTTCTAAACTCGAATTCTTGCTAGGTTCGCGCATAAAACGAATACACGTTCAGAATCAACAATTTTACCCACTCGTTGCACAATAGTATATTATGCGACTAGTGGGAGACAGAGCAGATTCTTTGAACGTTGAGTTTGCCGCAAGAGCGTAGCGAATGCCGTAACACGCAAGTGGAATCTCCTGTTTTGCCCAAAAGTCGCACACAATATTTTATAACAAGGAATTTAAAGTCAATTTTATTTGATATATTATCTGACAACTGACGAGCAGTTTTAACCTTACTTTTTCCGTTCGTGCGGCAAACTTAACGCTTGAGAAATCTCCTCTTTTTTCCACAAGTTGTACAACATACTACTGTTTTACAAGTGTTGAAAAGCGACTTTTTCATGCTGGTGTTTTAGCATGCTTTTCTCACAAGAGAATTACAATGCTTTTTTACGACAAACGCAAAATCACAATCCACACAACAAGGTCTATCTCCTACTAAAAATACTAAAAATCACTGCAACACTGCACAGAGTTTAAAGGCGGCCATTTTTGTTCTTTCATTTCAATTCTTGTGCTTTGGATTTGTACGGTACAAATTGTACCACCAATTAACCTTAAAATTGACATTTGGCAGTTTATGACAACCCTAATAGAATAAGGTTTATTTTCTTCAAAAGAGGAGTAAAATAGTTGTTCTTAGCACTTTAAGGCCTGTTTTAAGGCTTACAAGTGCCTCTGTAAGAAACAAAACGTTAAAACCATTATTAATCTGTATAAACAGAGCAGAAACCCAAACCCCTAAACAAAAACAAGTTGTTTTTGTTTAGGCCCAAACCACAAGAATTGTAAAGAACAAAAATGTCCGCCGTTAAACTCTGTGCAGTTTTGCAGTGATTTTTAGTATGCGCGAAACGAGATAAAACAGACCTTGTTGTGTGGATTGTGTACAAAATAATTTTTATCCGAAATCGGCAGTAGAACTTTACTGCCGATTTAATACGAGTATTGTATGCAACCCATAATACATTTTAAGATGTGTCTACTGCTACTCAGTAGCAACTAAATAATATTTAAAAAAAGCACCATGGCATTTAGAAAGAAAACCAGGAGAAATCTTTAGACAATAATTTCCTTGAACATCTTAAAAATAAAAATAGTGAAGAGTTAAGAGAACTACTGGATGACTGGAAAGACCATTGTGAAAAACAATATAAACCATTGAATATTATAAATATTGATTAAAATGATAATATTGAACGTAAACTGAAAAAAATAAGTTTGAAAATGGCTATAATAATGAATAAATTGATTTGAACATTAAACACGACGAACCACAATCCAAAAAAATAGAAAAATAAGCAATGAGAAGAAGGAACTTAATATAGGTACGTATGGGGCAACTCAAGAAGCCTAAATTAAATGAAAATACGCTTAAAAAATACCGAAATAGACGAATTTGTTCTGGAAACATTGAATGATAAACTGTGTTCTATTGCTACAAACACCTTACTAATCTATTTCTTTACTGAAGACAATTTGGCACATTCTGCAACCGATGAAAGAATGCACAGGAATAATCTTGTTGATATTATGAAATAATAATATTAATAATTATTTTGGGTCAAACTTCTTCTTGTGCAGACCCGGAAATTAAAGATGTGCCAAATCGTCTTAAGTAAAAAAAAGATCAGTAAGGTTCTTCTGGAATAAAACAAGGTTTAAACAATATTTAAAAAAATCCCTAGTAGCAATTCCGGAAAAGTCTTGGCCCAGCATGGAGATACTTTGGACAGATTTTTGCTCAAGAATTGTACAAGAATTGTTCCAGATTCTTGGCCAAGATTATTGGGCAAGACTTGAGCCAGACTGTGGCCAGAATTTGACAAGAAATCTGAGGCCATCTATTGCTAAACTTTGGGACTATCCTATAGAGTAGAGGTTCTCATTCTACAGTAGTATCATTCACAATAATGTATACTAGTCGAGAAGTGAGTTCTCTGTAGGAAATGACCATAGTTTTTTTGTTTATGTGAAAATACGAATAAGAGCTTATTGGATTCGTCTTCTAGCTGAGAAAAAAATTGATTTTTTGAAAAATAAAAATTGTTATTTCTAAAAATCAAAAATTAAATAAAAAGAGTGTGTCAGCTCTGACGCATAACTAGAGTTTACTCTTTATGAACATGAAAGATTATAAAATACATGTTTATTTTTACGGGCACCTGGTTTTTTTTTAACATAAAAAATTAAAAACTTTAACTCTTTTAACTTAAAATTTGTTTCGTTTTTAATTCTATTGTTTACCAGATTTATGGATAAAAACCGAGTTTACTGGAAAGAAATCGTGGAAAATTAATGTTTTTAGTAACATTCTTAACTTTTGAAGTTCAACAAAATTTTGTATTGACCAAAAATCTTGAATTGAAAGTTCCGTGTAATCGTGTAAAAATTCTTGGCCAAGAATCTGGTCAAATTCTGGTCACAGACTTGTCCAGTCTGCCACCAGTCTGGATAAAGAATTTTGACCAAGAGTCTTGGTCAAGAATTGTCCAATTCTTTACAAAGTGCCTCTCCAAGTATCTTGACAAAGAATCTTGTCCAATTCCATTGCTAGTAGGGATAATAATAAATCTTCATTTAGCAAAGAGGTATAACAATATTGGTCATTTTTACTTAATAAATGTGTTTAATTTTTTTTGTCCGAAAAAATTTTTAGACTATATACCTGGGACCATTAATCCCCGGGTATTATTTGCATCGGACTCACCTGTTAAGACTTGTCGTGGTGGTGACGATTTTCGTTTTCTCCGTGTCCGTGGTGGTGGTGCGCACGCGCGTCGTGCCCTCCTTCGGCCTCGTATTCAATTTACCCGGTCTGCAGTTTTCGTCCTTATCGTCGGGCGACGACTCCATCTGTTGGCTTTTGGCGGAAGCTGCAGCGGCGGCTGCCGCGGCCGCCTTTTCTTTCTTGCTCTTCTTCTTACCGTTGCTCGCCTTGTTGCCGGGGCGGGCCTTCGATTTTTCCTTCTTCGACATCTGGTCGTCCTTGGTGCTAGTCGAATCGCAACGTTCTATCGTGTGGTAGCCCTGCAAGTGCAACGTTGCCGAAAATTGCGATTAAGTGTGTGGATGCGGTGTTTATACTTAGTTGTTTTTTTTCTAAGTGTTTATACAGTTTTTTTTATATTTTTTGGTGAATAGCAGTCCTTACCTTGTTGTTAATGTTGGTGATGTCGGTCGGCGTGGCGCTGTCTATGAATTCGATGTTGTCAATTTTATCAAATGCCGAATTGGTCGGGGTGGTGCTGCCTTTAATGGTGGGTAAAGAAGGTTCCTGAAAAGTAAAAAATAGACCTATTAAATAATTTGTATATAAAAGAAAAACAAATTTATAATAACGTTAAAAATATATATCATATCTTGTAACTAGATTCTAGTCTTTTATCTATGATTCTAGTGGACATTCTTAAAAGCGGGATTTATGAACTTTCAGTTGGCGTTGGCGCTCGCGGTTGGCATTTCCGTCATAAAACACCATTTATGAAGTGGTTTCGTCGGCATTGAGGATCTAAAACTAACCTTAAAAATGGTGTCTGTCAGATTTTTTAAACTAGGGTTAATAAAAATAACTTGCTTTACATTTCATTGGTTATTTCAAGATTCTGCTATAGTCGCGGCCAAATCCGTATGGGTGCACATCATCAATGCGATATAATGACGTCAGCATTACCAACTTTGAATGGTACCTAAAGTTACTGCCCTTAAATTTGCTTTTTAAGGCGTAATTCTGATGTGTTATAAAAAAATATCATTAATGTGCAAATTGTTTACCAAGAACTGTAACAATTTTCCTGTTTTAAAACGTATTTTTTAATTTTTTTATGAAAATAAAACATTTCACTTAGTAATTTTTGTGTGTGCCAGTTGCTAATAGCTTAAGGTTGGCGAGCACCGTTCAATATTATTGATGGGTCATACTCATTTTATATTTGACGTTTTTTTTTTGTAAGCATCGTTTGTTGTAGATTATTTCTAAATACTTTTATCCATTGTGTTAACATATTCTACCACTGGATTGTGCAAACAATGTTACAAGGCTTGTTGGCAACGCCAACAGTTATTATATTGCGAAAACATTGCGCCCTTAATAAATTTGGGAAAATTAAGTCTGACCTGGTTCGCTCTGATGACAAAGACGACTGGTAATTTAGTATTTTTTGGTACAGTGTGACCCATTTGTTTGCGACTCACCCCTGTAAAATCTTTATTTATTGTGCGATTTTAACCGGATTTGTTTTAAAGTGTAGATCTTGTATTTTTGTTTTTACAAAATACAAGGCCCCCTCAAAACGACGATATACTAAATTTTATTAAAAAATTTTAAGTAGAAAAATACACAATAATAACTACAAAAATTTATTCTGTCAAGTTATCCATGAATCCATTAATTTTATTTCAATGTTTTTACATGGATAACTTGACAAAATAAATTTTTGTAGTTATTATTGTGCATTTTTCTACTTAAAAGTTTTCAATAAAATTTAGTAAAGGGTCGTTTTGAGGGGTACCATGTTAGGAGTACCATGTTACTATTAGTTTAATTTTATTTTAATGTTTTTACATGGATAACTTGACAAAATAAATTTTTGTAGTTATTATTGTACATTTTTCTACTTAAAATTTTTCAATAAAATTTAGTAAAGGGTCGTTTTGAGGGGTGGTGAATCCAGTGCCGTGCTTAGATTTTGTTTAAAAAATCGTTAATATAAATTCTTAAAAATTTACTCTTAAAAACTGACATAGTAGGCCTTGTATTTTGTACTAATATGGCGTTTTTTTTCAAAAAATACAGTTTATCAAAATGTACACTTTAAAACAAATCCGATTAAAATCGCACAATAAATAAAGATTTTACAGGTGTGAGTCGCAAACAAACACTGTATGATATAAAAATGAGAAAGATTATAACAATGATGTTATAATTCCATCTTAATAAACAGTCAACAATACACGAGCGTTAGATTGTGCCTGGGCATGTATAAATACTTTTTAATAAATTGTATAAAAAAAGCATTTAATAAACACACAAAATGATGATATTTTAGATTTGGCATGTTTATAACAGTAAGAATTTGACAACGTCGTATTTCTACCACGATAGCCAAAAGATTTTTATCATAGACATATTAATATGTAGATGGTTTTTATAATTAACCATTTTGTTTGTTTTCAGTTGTATACCAAATGTTTTGGCATTGTTTTTTTCCATTATGTTTACTTGATTTTTAGTGGCTTTTACATAATATGCATATTATGCCACTTTTTGCTTTTTATAAAGCAAAACCACAGAAATGTATTTTAGCTTAATCCAGGCGATGTAAGAAAATTATTTAGAAAAATTTTATATAGCCTAAAATTTATTTACTTAACAATTCGTATCATACGTGAACGTAGGTATTACTATGTCTTTGTCATATATTTTAAATCCACCAATTATGAACTATGCGCATAAGATAAGATGATACGGCAAATCGACAAATTTTCCCTCAAAAAAGGAAACTATACAAAATATAGCGAATAAGCGGTATATTTGTAGAAGTATGTGGCTACAAACTTTGATCGCGGCATCTGTTGGTAAATGCCGCAGCAAAAAAGATACACAATCTCGAGCAGCACCCAGGGCAGTGTTACCAGATTCTGTCAAAAAAAGACCGTACGTTTCGTTCGAATTTACCTTAATTACAAAAATGATTCAATGGACAATATTAAATAACGTCAACTTGACATAATTGCATTTATTTGCATTGTTTCATTGTGTCATTTTGTAATTAAGGTAAATTCGAACGAAACGTACGGTCCTTTTTTGACAGAATCTGGTAACACTGACCCAGGGCCAACCGAAACGCCAACTGAGCTTAATAAAAGCACAACATGTATTTGTGTTTAATCTTGAAGCCTACGCCTACTCCATGTATTAAAATGATTTCCCTAAATAAGAGGGCGCTGCTGTTCTGCATATTTGGAATCTACGCATACGAATTGAATGGTGTTATGCAACAGGGAACCAACCCTCACTGTTGAAAAACTAAGATAATAGCATCCGAAAAATTACCGTGGTTTAAGTATAGATTCAACGTTTTAATTTTATTTCCAAATTGCTAATTAATTTAGTACTAAATTTTTATTTCTCCTAATATTTTTTTCATTATTTTCAATAAAATAAGTAAATTTGTTGATTGGTCCCTTGTAAAATAAATAAAACTGATAGTTATTGCCTATTGTTTTATTATAACATGGAAACCATCATTTGGAATAAGGTGATAAATAGATTTTAAATCTTTTTATTTTAGCTTTGAGATCCTCGTGATCTTCTCTTATTTTTTTTGGAAATATTGATTTTGTCATATAAAATCATTGGTTCATTTTTTTCCAACATTATTTTTTTCAACTTAAACCAGATCCAAGTAGCATTGATCCTTGTTGCAGTTTAGTCAAAAGTAACGTTAACAAAGCCGCTTGGCGCTTTATAACCTTTCACAATTTCAATATATAAGGGAAAGTTGGCACAACCATGCAGCTTAAAGCTTTGTTGAGATTTAAAAACTTTGATTGCAGAGTTCTATATTATTTTGAATTTTTTAATTCATTGTTCTATTTCTTTAAAATAATTTCAAAAGGTGGCCCTACATGGCCCCATCACGTTAATACATTTATCCCGCTTTTTTATTATGAGGGATGGTTCCCTGTTGCATAACACCATTCAATTGTTATTAAAAACTTTTTCTCAAACAATTTTTGAGAACTACAGCGATTTAAAAACCGCAAGATTAAAAACGATTCGATGGGCAAGAATTAAGAATGAATCCAACATGTTTCTAGCATGGTTTCAAGGTTACGTTCAATATTCTATAAAGTATTTAAACCATAGAGTAAGTAAAATTCATCACAGAAAAGTTTTCTGAGAAAACATAGATGGTATTGAAATATGGAGTCGTTCCGGAAACTTAATGGTCGCACTGTGTATGATTTGCGAAAAAAAACCTATATTTTAATTTGAAGATGCAAATAATGACCCCTGTCAGGATATTAAACGGAAATTAAGACAGTTTTAAGAGGGTTTTAGATCATTTATGACAGTTTTTAGAATGTCCTCATTCCAACAAAACATTATGCAGTTTTTGGGATATTTTAGGCAGTTTTAAGAATGTTGACTTCAGCTTACATAACTGTTTTAAGAATGCCCTCTTTTCAACAACACATGCATTTTTTTAGGATATATAAGACAGTCTTGAGATGGTTTTAGAACATTTTTGGACAGATTTTAGAATGTAAACTTCAGCTTACATAGTAACTGTTTTTAGAATTTTCTCTCTCCCACAACACTTAATGCAATTTTTAGGATATTTTAGACAGTTTTAAAAGGGTTTTAGAATATTTTTGGACATATTTCAGAATGTTGACTTCAGCTTACATAACTGTTGTTAGAATGTTCTCCTTCCTACAACACTTAATGCAATTTTTAGGATGTTTAAGAGGGTTTTAGAACATTTATGGACATATTATAGAATGTTGACTTCAGCTCACATAACTGTTTTTAGAATTTTCTCTCTCCCACAACACATAATGCAATTTTTGAGATATGTACAAGTTTCAAACGGGTTTTAGAACATTAAATGTTCAGAATGTCGACTTGACCTTACTTAACTGTTTTTAAAATGTTCTCTTTCAGAGAGATGTCGACTTCAGCATATATAATTGTTTTTAAAATGTTCTCCTTTCCACAACAATAAGGATAGTTTAGACAGTTTTAAAAGGGTTTTAGAACATTAAATGTTGTACACAGATTTCAGAATGTCGACTTCCGCTTACAAAATTGTTTTTAAAATGTCGACTTAAGTAAGCTAGATTTAATTGTAATAAGAATGTTAACTTAAGCTAGATATCAAAATCTTAAGAATGCCAATTCAAGCTAAATATTACTGTCCCAAGAATGTCAAAATAAACTAAACATAACAACCTTTAAATTAAAAAAAAAACAAATAGGTGTATTTAACTGTCTTAAAAATGTCTAAAAGATTTTTTACAAAGTTATTAAAATAAATAATGATTAAAAAAACAGTGACTGACCTTAAGCGTCCCATGCTTTGGTATAACAGTAGGCTGCGAGGGCTGAGGGGCACCCCCCACGCTGCTGGACCTCCTGGAGGGGGAAGAGGACCCCGCCGCCTCCCTGTAAGCCTCCTCCCCCACCTCGAACGAGCCTTGCGACGAGGCGTTCGACTGCTGGCGGCGGTGACGCGGCGGCTGTTTGACGTCATCGTTGGTCGACGCCGACGCCGCCGCCGCCGCAGCCGCCGCGCCGCCCCCCGCCGACGACGACGTCGACTTTCCGGAAGACGTGCGCTGCGCTAGCGAACGCGTCCAAGCATTGAAGCTGCGCGCGCTGCTCGTGCGGCTCGCGTTCGCGCTCGCGTTCGTGCTCGCCGATGTGTCGCTGCCTTTGCGCGGAATCGTCGTGCTATGAACTCTGAAAGAAACAAAATAAATATTTTGTCTTCCGAAAAGTTGTATTTACACAATTTGTATTATTTAATGATAATACAGTTAGTTAGTGACAGAGCTGGCCAAGTACTGAGTACTTTTACTCGTATTTCAATTACGAGTTAAAAAGTACGAGTACTTTTTTACTCATAAGTATTTTTCATTTGAAATACTTATTACTCGTACATACAAACCAAATTTAATGTACTCGTAAAAAATACTCGTGGAATTCACGAGTAATATATACGAGTATTTTCGTTTATTATATGGATGCATTTTTGCCAAAATATCGTAATCATCAAAACATTTTGTTTGGAAGTCTGTTTTAAACTATATAATATTTAGTATAATATAGTATATTATAGCCCTACTATGGAGAAAGGCAGTAACTGCTAAACAAGAAATTTGTGGAAAATTAGCATAAACTACATTTTTATAAAAAGCAGTAGGTATTTAATTGATTTTTTTAACTTATAAGATATTTGACTGCATTTCTGTGTTGATTTCGGTTACAAAATGTCCATAGCTTTACCATAGCAAAAGAAAACGCATTTTGCATTTTTTTGCAGTTACTGCCTTTCTCCATAGTAGGGCAGTATAGGTTTTATAACAAGTAAATAGGTAAAATTATAAACTATTTAAGAATTGTTATTATTTTATGTACAGGGTGATCCCCTATAATGTCGCCCCCCTTTAACTTCTTTATTTTAAGTGTCCCAAATAATTTAAAATTGTGGTTATGTAGGTACTAAAAAATACTTTTTTTCTACGTATAAAAAAATGGAATATTAATCAAATAGATTATTTTTTTTCAATGGATCACCCTATATATGATTTTATTTTTCTATTCCTTGTAAAATTCTGAGCATAATTTATATAACAAACCATATACCTAAATTCAACTGTTTCTGAAATATTCGCATTCGAAATGTTATCATTAAATGTTTTTTTTAACTTTAGAAATCAAGAAGCCTCAGTATACCAAAATTCTGTGCCAAAATTGTTATTGAAAATAAATTACTATAGTGACATTATGTCAAAATGTCTTGTTAAATAATTAAAAATTGCGTACTCAGACAGAGAAAGACAAACTATTTCAACTTATTATCTTAAAAATAATTTAAATATTTCAGAAACGGTTGAATTTAGGTATATGGTATCAGGGCCGGCAGCTTTTTATTTTGACGTGTGGTGCTCATCTACAGTTGGTTGGTAGCAGTGGTTAATGGATAGGGGGTGTTCTTTTCCTTGGGGGTTGCGGGAAGGAGAACAAAATAAAATTGGAATAGTTTTTTAATCAATTTATTTATCAAACAGGGATATACTAATTTTAGCACTAATATATCCCCCGGAATGATTAAATTTAGTTTATATAGTTTTTTCGACAGTGTTTATTACGCGACATAGTTTCAAGTTAAAAAACTCTCCCTGTAATGGAATCGAATGGGATAGGTATATTACTGCCACATCGGACGTTTTTAGGGTTGGCACCTGTCACTTCTTGGATTAAGGGTTAGCAGCATCAAAAATACGGGTTTAAAATAATCGTTCTAGATTTTTTTACGAGAGAATTAAAACACTCTAAGATTCGAACTAACTTAGTTTTGTTGATAAAAAGTCGGGTATCTATCCACTAACACAATTGGTGATAGCAAACAAGAAACCCAGAGATAATAAACAAACCGCGCGAACTGTAAATAATAATAATAATAATACCTATTTTCGCGGAGCTAATCCCGAACTAATTCCGGACATCCTAGGCATGCGCTTTTTAAAATTTAGCGTTCAAAATGTAAAGTGCGCAAGACAAATATTAAAATGCGCATGCCTAGGATGTCCGAAGTAGTTCGGGATTAGCACCGCGAAAACACATAATATAACTCAAAGTTTGATCGGTTACCGTCGGTATAGTAGAAATACCCTAAATACATGTCGCGGCGTGTCGTTATATTATTCCTACTACACCAAGATACATACACTTATACATACTACACCGACCGACTTTGATACTTTAAACTTTAGATTCCTTAGCTTCAACCGTAAATTTGTAGAGGGCGTTGGTGTGTATCCCAGGCTAGCAGGATAAAAAATGTATAGACCGCAAAAGAAATGCAATTTTTCTGCTGATGATACGTGTGGTGCTGAGCACCACTATTTTCCTTTAAGTGTGGTGCTTGAGCCCGCGAGCACCGCTATTGTCGCCGGCCCTGTATGGTATGTTATATGAAGTATGCTTAGAATTTTACAAGGAATCGAAAACTAAATTCATATATAGGGTGATTTATTGAAAAAATATAAACTTTTTCTTTTTCCCTGTATACTGATCAATTTTCTAATTTTCTTTATACGTAGAAAAAAAGTATTTTTTAGTACCTACATAACCATACTTTTAAATTTTCAAAGTTAAAGGGGGGCGACATTATAGGGGATCACCCTGTAGGTAAATAATGTTTAAAATGAATAATTTTATAAATTTGTATTTGTATTTTTATAGCTCAGGACCAAAGTACACTCTCTATAAATGAATTAGTCAAAAATGACTAATTATAATTAGTACCTACATAACCATACTTTTAAATTTTTAAAGTTAAAGGGGGGCGACATTATAGGGGATCACCCTGTAGGTAAATAATGTTTAAAATGAATAATTTTATAAATTTGTATTTGTATTTGTATAGCTCAGGACCAAAGAACACTCTCTAGAAATGAATGGGTTAAAAATGACTAATTACCACAGTTATTAGTGGAGCAGTTTTTGAGATATAGTCAATTCCATATTATATGGAAAATGGACTATATCTCAAAAACTGTTCCACTTTTCTAACTTTTGACGACATTTTCGGAAACAGGGAACAATTTTACATGGAAATTGACTGCTAAATGTTAAAAATACAAATTGCTATTGACGAGAATTATAAGTGGCTCCTTTTCGCTTTGACAATTAGTCATTTTTGATTAATAGTATAACCCATTTTTAGAGAGTAAAGAATAATCAATTATATTAACTAACTTTTTTTTTCAAAAATACTCCTACTATTTACTCGTGTTTTCACGATTACTACTCGTAACCGTAACCTCTCTTTACAAATGTACTTACGAGTAAATATATTAAGTACTCGTACTTAAAATTTTACGAATACTTTTTTTAGTACTTGTGCCCAGCTCTGGTTAGTGACTACTAAAAACCATGGTGAAATTACCACTACTTTGTTATTTATAATGAAAAACACTTTTTATTTGAGACATCGATTATATAGAATTTCTGACCATATCAATTTAAGCTAGGGTAATGTAGTGCACGTTTTGTTTGAGGTTTCGGCAAAATTCGACTACTGTTAGAAATACCACTGGATTCTAGGCAACATACCTATAGTCAATTATGATAGGCCCTTTAAAGAGTTTTGGAGATTTTTAGTGCATATTTTTAGTGCATCATTTTTGCCTTCTCTAACCTTTTTTTTAAATGACTAAAATAGGAAACATAATGCCTAATAATAAACTTTAAGGGAGTTAAGCCTGAATTATAGATTTCCTTCCTTCCTTCCTTCCTTCCTTTCTCCCGTAGAAGATGAACAATACGAAATTTCCATTTATAAATTTTCGTACCGCAAGGACGGCATTCCTTCCTCCCGTAGAAATTTTTAAGTTTTATCTTTCACCGTAAATGACCAATCATAGTGCTTGTTATGGACATGCGCAATATATTTAAAATAAATGATTGTTTAATGTTATTTAAGATGTTCAGTTTATTAAATAATTTGTGCCTCTAAATAGGATATTTAGATATTGTTTATGATTAATGTCTTTCATTTTTATAAATGTTGCTTTGTAAATCCCCGCAGTTACCCGGTCTTGGTAAAGTGGGCGAGTGTTCCAACGTCTTGTTCGATGTTTTTTTTTTCATTATACAACAAGCTGATTGAATTGTGATCACTGCACCAAAATATAAATGTTTATTTTTCATATTTACACACAATGGGTAAAACGCAGAATATAAACAAAAACAAATGTTAACCATTTTCATCGCGCATGGTTACGGAATTTTACACGGAAATCTATAAATTGACTTTTTACAAGACGCACAAATCGTACGGGCACGACTACGGGAGGAAGGAAGGAAGGCAATCTATAATTCAGAGATGACAAAACAATATCAGGCTATTCCTCATGAAAGAATAACTAATCCTATTCATTTGATGCCACAAAGATTGCAAGCCGTCATTGCAATTTATTCTCACTCCTTAAGGAGTGAGAATAAACGATATTAATATTTTTGTTAAATAATTTTATTATACAAGGTGTCCCAGAACTAGCGCAACAGAGAAAAAGGGGCGTGCTGATAGCAATGGAGATGCCAAATTTAAAAATAATTTTTTTTTAGGTAATACTGTAATCAAATGAGAGCAGAAAAGTGACCGCCAATACCGAGAGCTCTCGCCTAGGTTAAACGTAGGAGCTTTAAAAACTGCTAGGAGATAATAGAACCATAGATTCATAACCTCTGGATAGAACATTGTTGCCTTCAAACTTTTAAAAATCTTTTCTGTTAACTAACCTTTCAAAAAGGAATATCATACTTCAGGACGCCAATTTTTTAAAGTAAAAATTAAACAACTAGTTCTGTAACCAAGAGCCAAAATCTCTAGCAATTCCACTCTAGCGGATTATCTTTTGGCTACGTAAAATAAACGTCCTTCATAAACCGCTGTGAACGTAAATTCGCGTGCAACTTCCTTTATGGTCTTCCTAATATTTGCATCAAAGGCATTAAAAATATTTCTTAATTTTCTGCTGTTTTATAAAATTATAATACGGTAAGGAGCATCTTCAATTTCGTTACATTGCAGAACAACTTTACAGTCCCTAGCATTGCGACTTAAAATGATAAATAATGACAGGAACAAAAGTTGACAGCAGTGTCACAATACAGTGGATTCCAGTTAACCAAATATTTTACATATTATAATATCAACAATGCATCCTAAGTATCCTAGCAATTTAAAGAATTCCCTATGGCCATGTATTGGGATTGCCTATCGTTTTTTATTCTTATCTTGCTTATCCTTTGCGTTAGATAATTTTAATTTTAAAGTATGTGTTTCGCATATCTTTCGGCAAGTTCCCTCTTTCTCTGTGGCTCAATAACAAATAAGCTTCAAATGAGCGTATAACTGTAAAAATCCGCAGCTTTTTAAAGGAATGAGAGTCAAAAAACAAAATGTTTGGAACACATCTAAGATTACAGCAAAGTTTGCTGAGCAAACAGTTTGTAAACAAAATTATCCGCCTCAATTTTCTCACAGGGTATTCTAAAAAACATTTTGATTTACCCATGAATATTTTCTACACAAAAAATGTTAATTATAAGAATAATAAATAACAATCACAATAAATAAATAAAAATGAAATCGAATGAAAATAAAAAAATATAACAAACTTGGCGGAATTTTATGCAAGGGAGTGTATTTGTTGACTTGCTTTTTCTATTGGTAGAATAATAATTTAAAATTTAAGATGGTTTTGTGTGAATAGTATAATAATAATTATTATATTATTCATGCAAAACCATGTTAAATTTTAAATTAATATTCTACCAATAGAAAAAGCAAAAAAACAAAATATATTAATATTTATAATATATTAATTATTGGTGGCGGCTTTTGGGCGATTTTGAATAATTTTTAGGCTATTTTGACCAATTTTATGCTACAAGGACTTTTGTACAAAATAGACTTTTGTACAAAATAGAAATTAAAGTCAAAACAACACTAGATTCATGTTCAGCAGGAAATTGCCCTTGGGAAAACAATTCCTTTACTACCCTCTTTTAAGAGAAATTTAAGAAAATTTTGTTTCTATAACTTTTTATGCTTATTGATAAACTCTATACGAATGTTGAGTAACACAATATACAGGGTGTCCCGAAAGACATAGACAGCAAAAAAGGGGTGGAATTCTAAGACAAAAATTCCTTTGGCGCACCCTTTATTAGTTGGGAGTATTATTTAAATAAAAAAGCAGTGGCCTGCTATGTCTAATTGAGTTCAAACGGGCGGAAAATTCCGCCCGTCTCTTTACGGTCCATACCAGCAGTTCTCCTACCTTATTCTGCTAAAGCAAGCCTGATTGGCTACTTTATTTAATTAATAACAAATTAAGGGAGCACCTGATCAAAAAACGACAGAGCAATTTTCGTCTTTTCTGCTGTATAAAGACAAAATTGGTCTGGTTTAAACTCTATATGCATAATCAATTTCTGAAATAAAAAGCGAACGCTATTAAATGGCATAAGTGAATTTCAAATGTGTATTTTTTTACGTGTATATTTGGTTGCCTAACCTGTCAAACTTGGTCAAAATTGAAGACATGACAACTTGGCACAGTTTAAGAAGAAAAACGAATGTCAGTGCAGTTAACGTCAACATTTTCTAAAAATTTGCCATTTTCTAGAGAATTAGAAAAAATATGCTTTAATTTTTGTATCTACAGGGTGTTTCAATCATTTCACACTTGGATAAAAAAGTACCTATGTTTATATTGAACTGCCTTAAGAATATTAACTTAGCTATAGGTACCTACCATATTTTCACGATAAAGTATCTATTCTAAATGTGGTAGATTTATGTACCTAGATTGTTTTTTAAACTATTATTTTGAGAGGAATTAATGCACAATTTTTGAGGCCCCCTGTATAAATTATACCATTTCGTCACCCTAATATAACAAGGTTGTATGTTAAAAAAACGAAAAATTTACAGGATTATACGAGGCCTAAGCTTAACATACCACTTAAAAATAATTCTATAGAATGTAAATTCTATGTATACATATATGTATGAAAATAACTATATATATATATATATATATATAGTTATTTTCAAGTTGTATGTCAAGGTACATACATAAAACCTTGTAGAAGAATAAACTCAAATTTTTCGGTTTTTTAACATACAACCTTGTTATTTTAGGGTGACGATTTGTTAATGGATTTTAAAAATGCATTTAACTTACATTTGCTTAGATTTAAATTTTGATGTGATAATAAATTTTATATCACACAAATCAGGGACAATCTACATCAAATTTTCTTATCTGACCAAATAATTAAAATTCTATAGCTATATGCTATGTGAATCCTAACCACAATTTAATCATTGATATACAAATTTAATTTAGAAAAGAATACTTACAGTCCTGGATCGAGTTTTGGACAAGTTTGCCCCGTTTTTCTTGCTTTTTCTGGATTACAGGCCTGGCACCTCGTCCCTCTTATTTTTCTCGAGCTATTTCCGTTGTCCACATTAACACGATCATTGTAAATGTAGTTGGAAATACGTTCAATATCTTCAAATTCCAGAATGACTAATTTAATTGAAACCTTCCCTAATCACTTCATTTATTTACTATTACAGCTGTTAAAATCGCGTATTTAGCACCAATTTTAATTAAATAAACCATAACACTAACAGTAACAGTTCTTGTTTTTTGTTTGAGTATTTTCTATGCTATATCACAATTATTTTCCATGGATTAAGACTTGGGATTACAAAAATAACCTGCAACAACAACAAAATCAATTATTCAACCCACCCGTAAATTACTATGGCACGCCACTGTGTATGTCAAATGAATTTCGCGAAAAAAAAATGCTGATTACCGCATTAATTTGCACAAAAACTACACAACCAATCAACGCGTTTGCACAAAAACAAGACACCCAATCGAACTCAACTTAAATAAGCAGAAAAATCCAGCAATCCGTCACAATTTTTATAAATAAATTTGCAACGCAAAGACGTATTTTGCCAATTTTAGCCCGCTAATCCCACATTATAACGCACGTATCGCACACCGTTGTAAAGTGGATTTTTCGCACTACACAACAGCGAAGGATTTACGCAAATATATCGCGAAATAACGCTGAAACTTACGTTTTTATTTAATATTTCCATTGACACCACCCTGGTGAAGAGTTACTTAACATCGTTCACACCAGAGGGCGCTCTAAACGTCAAATTGCAAAAATGACAGCCATCTACTATTCAAATTAATTTCAACCTAAAAATGATTTTTGTTTAAAAAATTACGATAAATCGTGTTTTAAGGTTTTATTTGGGTGTAAATAACATTATTTTACATTAAAGTACAAAATAGATCAGTCTTAAAGACACATTATCATAAAAATAATAATAACTATGTAGAAATTTCCTTAAATTTGAATCCCAGACGTGTTAAATCTTCTTTAGCGGCTTTAATATCCTAAAAACAATAAATTAATAATAAATAGGTATAACATACAAAACAATTGTTCTGGGTACCTCTTGCAATTCAATTGAGGCCTCTTCACAATTATTAAAAGTTAATGTTCTATAAATAACAACAGATGCAGCATACAACTAAAATTAACATTATTAAAAGAGTAAATACACAATATAAGTAGTTATTATTACCCCAAATATAGCAACAAAAATAATCGGCGAATATAAAACCAGGGTGTAATTATTATCTACAAACTCAGCCCCAACTTTTTTTGTGATCATCGACCCCCAAATTGATCCCAATACTGTTAAAACAGCCAACCATTCCATTAACTTCGTCATTTTGGCTTTAATCTAAAATATAGGTTAATGTATATCTGTCACAGGTGACGTTTAAAAAAGTTGCAACACGTTGCAATAGATGGCGACATGAAGTTGCACTATGTCGCAATAGATGGCGTTACTATAAATTTGCAATTTCCACGTTTTTTACGCATTGTAATTCAAATTTTATCAGTTTATTTGTGTTTTAAACTATTAATAATCCCGTGATTATCGCTTTTGTTTGCCTAGTGATAAAAACATCGAAGTACGGAAGTACCGTGCGCACAGGGTTGCCAACTGTTAATACGAAATTAAATTGAAGTTTGTTGTGGTGTTTTGACAAAATTTTCTAAATAATATAGTTTTGCAAATTTTCGATGTTATATTTAAAATATAAGTGCAAAATTGTGCATAAATTTTGCGGTGAATATTCATGAGATTGGCGTCAGAGTGAAAAATCTTATTGTTAAAAAATTGCCTTCTTATCTGGATGAATTGCTATTGTACTTATGAATTTTATTTATTTAGATAATATAGTCAACTAGACATTATTATATCGTAGTTTGGGCCAAGTTGGACGATTTTAACCTAATATCAACATAACCTACAAATTTTCTACACCAAATCAGTGCCATGAGTAACTTGGCAGTAAGGTTTATAAGAAGAGGTAAAATTAAGATTCATTTGCAGTAAATTATAAATTTTCATTGTTTAATTTTATTTAGATGGTTTAAAACAAAGCGAGAATGAAATCGATGAATATAAGAAGAAAATACAGCAAATCGATGGGGCTGTTTTTAAGTTTGAAAAAGATAATTCTACAATAAATATTACAATACCAGAAGGACACTATAATATAATAACGTAAGTTATATTTTTTTCTGTTTATAAAAAGCCAAAACATAAATTTTATACAGAGTGTTTCTTAATACTGAGTGGGCTTGATCCCTGGAGGATTTTAAGAATAAAGTTCCTATCAACTTGGGCTCGCAACCGCTAGATCAAAGTTAAAAAAAAAACTATTCTTTAAATATATTTGAAACTGTTTTTATATATTTTTTTAATTTTATGATGTGACAATTGGGCATAAAAATACACATTTTTTTCAAAACTCTGTACACCCATGTTAATACTAGTTCAAACATAAAGCCAAAATATCATCATGTCAGTTGAAAATAACCTAAAAATTATGAGACAGAATCATAAGGAAATTAAAAAAATAGTATATAAAACCCGGTGGCAAAAGCTTATTAATTGCTTTGCACACAATCTGCTGCCTCAGATGTCGCCTTGGCAGTGAAATGTATGGTCAGTGATAATATGGACTTTCTCTGCCGGGTCTATAATATATTATTTAACAACAAATATTTATTCTACTTCCACATGCCCTTAAATATTTTTAAGAAAAAAATGACATGCCAGAGCTTTTTTTTTAATTGTTATTTTCATATTAGCAAATTATCTCTTGGTTAAAATGCCCTTTTTTCGACTGACAAATGGTTTTGAAATAAAAACTATGTCAAAAATATCAAAAAAAATCTAACTTGAAAAGTTTTTGTGGGATCTGCCCATTTTTAGTAAGGTTTGAATTCATTTTTTATTCTAAATACCCTATATATTAAAATAAAGCTGGAGTTGCGGATCAACGTTTAAATTATCCAAGGATTGACCTCATTCAGTATCAGCATCCAATTAGGAAACACCCTGTATATGTATAACTGTCTTAAGAATGTCAACTTAAGCTAGTTATAACTGTCTTAAGAATATTAACTTAAGCCAGCTATAACTGGTTTAAGAATGTCAACTAAGACTACCTATAGATATAACTATTTTAAGAATTTCAACTTAAGAACTACTTTTTTTCATTTGGATCAAACAAATATTAGAAATATTCTCCAACACCAAAACAAAACACAAAGCACTTTGTGTTTTGTTTTGGTGTTGGGAAATATTTCTAATATTTGTTTAACATATCACCAAAGTTGTCCTTTTTCAAGTATCATTTGGATCAAATATATGGATTCGTTGTGTTGTATTTATACAGGGTATAACTAAAATACTATTACAAACTTTGAGGGTCGATTCCCCATTAAAAATGGAATCGAAAAATATATAATCTTGAAAGTAATTTTTAGAATTTGTATTCTGGCATAACTTTTGAACCTTTTGACCGATTCCAAATAAATTTGGACCAGTGAGATGAAATACTGTTCGGTTCCATTTTTCATGGGGAATATATCCTTAAGGTCAGGGCCATATTACCCATTAGGCAGGCAAGGCAATTGCCTTAGGCGCCACATAGAAATAGGCGCCTTGTCCCCAAGCAACTTAAAAAAAAATAAAAAATTTTACCAAAATGTTTATTTTTTCCAAAAATAAAACAAATAAACAACATACAATTGTAATAACAGAATATTATTTACTGGTTTTATTATTTTATAAAAATTTAGCTTCCTTTGTAATAACGAGGTGTAAAGGCGACAAAAAAACGTGCCGCAAATTCACTCATAGATTAGATAATAATTCACTTCTGTTTTTCAGCCAAATACATAAATGTATGTCAGATAAAATTAATCAGGTGTTATATCACCATGCTTGATTACGAGGGCACTGCGTTTTGAAGTAGAATAAGATATCTTATTATTAACTGTATAATTAACAAATAATAATAAATCTTAACGTTAAACTGCAAACAAAAACTTAAAAGATAATTTAATTTGTAAACTTTACCCTGTATAAACATATCTTTAGCACTCTTTAAACTATTTCAAAACCCCCGTATGCTCCAAGCACACGGATTCCTCTTGCATCGGGTACCCGCTGTGATGTGCTGCTCACCCCAGCGGGTACGCGATACTAGAGGAAACTGCTGCCGGAAGGACTTGGATGTTTTCGCGTTTATTCAAGAGGGGCACTTATATGTGTTGTGTGTTTGGTGATAGCAGTCTGTGTTCGATAGTTAAGGTTGATTTAGCATGGCTTTTAAATTAAATTACGTTACGTTAGATTACGTTACAGAAAATGCTGGCTAAATCCACATTTAGATAGTGTTAATTTTTCTGTTTGTTTTAAGGTATTTCTGAAATTTTAATATTAAACTAATTACAATAAACCAGCAGTACATCTAACATACAAATACAGAAAATTAAAGTTGATTAAATTTTTTTAAAATACTTACTAATGACATCTTGCAGAAAAACGCACTTATAAGTCATAACACTTTTTATTTACATTATATTTGTTATGTTTATTTACATTATATTTGTTATTTATGTTTTTTATGTATTTTTTTAATGATAAAAAGTATTCTAATTCATAGGGAATAATTAGGTTATGATGCTCAGGCGCCCTTAAGCTAACAGTTTGGGATGGCTCTAATAAGCTTTTTTAAAATTTGCCCCGGGCCCCGTAAGTATAGTATCTAAATAGAGGAGCCAAATTTTTAAGTGCCTAAGGCGCTCAATTGCCTTAAGCCGGCTCTGCTTAAGGTTTGTTACAGTATGTAAGTTACACCCTGTATACATACAGAAAAATATCATTAAAACATGTCATATTTAAATGATTCAACTTTTTTATTGCATTTAGATAAGTCTATTTTTTTTAGATTGAATTTATCAAATATTAGTAATTTTTTAATCTATAAAACATGATAAAGATTTTGTTTTTAATTGAAAAATCATGTCTATTATGTGATTAAACATATTATTAAAGTTCGATTTATTGTAATCAATGTGTTTTTTAATTGTTAATGAAAATTATTCAAAAATTATCGCCAATTATCTTTAAGTGGGGGAATTTGTATTTAAATAAATGAGCTTAAATAATATAAGTTAGTTGTGCAAAAAAAATTTAAATTTTTAATGTGAAAATGTTTACTGTGAATTTTTCGGCGTTTGTTAAAAAATGGGAGTACTTGGGATACAATACTTTGTGAGTTTATTTATTAATTAAAAATGTACGCATCACCTATTTATGTAAAGTAAGTTTTGAAAAATTATTTTAATGCCTAAAATTTGAAACCTATCTGGGAGTTGCATAATTTTATACGCAGTATACAGGGTGATTCTACTCAAAATGGACAAAGGTTGTAGATTTCATCGAGACTAACACTTTTTCAAATAAATATTTTTTGTTGAGCTTTTGTTTTAATTATCTACCTTCTTTTATTTTTACTTAAATCCTTTATTTATGGTCGTATTTTTAAAAAATCAGTTTTTTAACTTTTCAGTTTAATACATAACCAGCAAAGATTTATATAAAAACAAAAAATAGGTCGATAATTAAAACGTTGTCGTTTTGAGTGTAAACAGCATGTATATTTCAAATAGTATACAACCAACATGTTTATGAAATAATTATTTTAGCTATAAGTACTTCACTTTTTTGCATATTAACAGGGTCAAGATAATAAAAACAATGATAACTAAATTTAAATTTTGTGGTTGTCATGTAAAGAGGTAACACAAATTTACAAAAAGTACATTACATACATTGCAAAAAAAAATTAAATTATTCAAGTAAAATCGGGATCTTCTTATTAAAACAGTATTTTTAGCTTAGGTTGATATTTATCTTATGTCTAGCTTAAAGTTGATAGGTAGCTTTATTTGACATTCTTAAGATAGTTACAGCTATCTTAAGTTGACATTCTTAAGCAGCTATTTATATATATACAGTGAGTGCGATTTAAGATCGCAACACACCATTATTTTGGAACGCGTTGACCGATTTTAATATACCTAGGTACCTTTTTATAAAAATTTCTTTCTTCTAATAATCAGCGAAAAAAACGAGTGTTTTTGAGAATAAAGCCGGAAAATGTTATAAAATATCAAAAAAAAAACCGTGGCACGATTTGTTGTGTTGTTGGGTGTATTTCAAGAAATCCTGGGTTGAGGTTTTACCGGTTTTCCAATAAACAGTGTTAATCTGAATGAAGAAATAAATTGCATACAGTCTTTGTAAATATAAATTGTACCTATTAGATACAATAAATACACATTTTAGTAGTGATTAACGTGAAAAGTGTAAACATTTCAATTCAGTAAAAATCGTCAAACAAATAAGTCGTCCAAATTTAAACAGCATTTAGCATTATTAAAACCGTTGATTAAGAAAGTCTCAACTCAACGGTAAAATTCCATTATTATGTATTATATATAATATTATGTTGCCATCAATTCGTAGGTATATTTTGTTGTTTAAAATGCAGTTGTCGGCGTTTTTTTTAGGAAACTCAAATATAAAAATGGTTGATTTTAAGGTTATGCTTGAGCAAAAATTATTTTTTACTAATTTCTTAAAAATGTCCAAACTTAAATATAAATTATATTAGGTAAAGTTATCATTAGTTAATTCTGCACCAACAAATGTACTTACCGAATTGGATCCTTTGGCAAAACATGAAAATGCAACGATTTAGTTCTTGAATTTTATTTACAATTAAAAACACAATAATTCACCATGATCCCTTAGATAAAATACAGACACTAACGTAAGTATATAAGTATTTAAGCGTTGAGTTTCTTAATCAATGATATAAGGAATAATCAATCGAAATCGAGTACTAAAAAAGTTTTTTTAATTTTTTCCTTGCAACGTAAAACACAAATAACGTGCGCGATTTAGCTGTGCAGTTGAACAAAATTTGTCGAGTAAGACTTCTGCCTTCCTCTCTTTTGTAAAAAAAATTACCTATTTATTTAAAAATGATGATAATCAATTCTTAAGTTCACGCAATGCATTCGAAGTCCACCAGATGGCGCGCGCGTTGCGAAAACCCGATACTTCTTTAGCGTATACCTTGCAACACATAATTTTAAAAGAAATGCAATTTCTGAACCATTGAAGATAAAAAAAATTAAAATCCGATTACGAGTTCGCGGGTTAGAGCTTAAAAAGGTGTGATATAAATAAAAAAAAGAATTACATAAAAAAATTATATAAAAATAATGTTTTATTTGCTCCGTTTCCATTTACCTTTAACAGGGTTACAGGTTTTAGTTAAAATATTTTTATCAAACTACCTAAATATTAGAAAAATGGTTTATTCTGAAGAGAGAACAGAATTAATTTTTATTATTATTATTAATTTTTATTTGATTTCTGTGGTCATAGATTCGCACGCGTTTTTAATGATAAGCATCCAGGCAAAAATGTAGGCCATCAATACGTCACTAATTTAGGGAAACTGGTTTAGTGTGCAACAAAAAACACAAAAGATCGAGTGTACTGGATGAAGTTGCACAAATTGAAGTTCTCGGTCATTTTGCTGTGGGATCCACATCCATTCCAAAAGTAGCTGCTTTAACAAATAGTTACTTCTGTTGGTTTAGTTTATAAGGTGCTAAAAATAAATGTTTTTTCCTTATAAAATTTAATTTAATTTGCCAGCAACTCAGCAAAGATAACTACGACAGAAGTATCCAGTTTTGCAATTAAAAAATATTTGTTTCAGCGATGAATCTACTTTTTTTCTAAATGGATTTGTAAATAAACACAGTTACTGGGACAATAAAAATCCACATTTTTCCTACTCAGTATCCTCAAAAAATCAATGTATGGGCTAATTCTTAGCAACAAAATAATTGGACTGCTTTTTATCGAAGAAAACTTGACTGGACAATTATAACTTCATCTTCTTGAATATATTATATACCCACTTATTACCCAGTCATTAGAAAATCAGATGGACAAACAAGGAAACATGTTGCTTGATGAAGGACATTTGTACTTTCAACAAGATGGAGCCCCTCCTCACCATGCTTTACCAGTCAGATAATGGTTGAACCAAAGGTTCTGAATGGATTGGTAGAAGAGGTGGAAGAATGGCCGGCAAGATCTCCATATTCAACGCCACTTGATTTTTTTCTTTGGGGACATTTTCATTTAAAAACACAAGTCTACAAAACACCACCTGAGAACACTTGTGGAGAAGTGTTGTTTCCCATAGATTATTTCAAAAAAAAAATTCCAAAAATCGATTATTATAGTTTATTTTTTATGGAAATCTTATGAGCTAACTCGTGGGATACAAAATAAAAAAATTGTCTATGAAAACAAATGTAACTATGTAATTATTTTTTTGGAATGTCTGATGCCCCACAACAATTTTAAAGACATTCTATGGAACTTTTCCAATCAAAGAACGAGATAACATGTATGTCAATATGGTAAAAAACAACGACATATATTATTTCAATCAAGACTTTGAAAAGATAGACAAAGAAACAAAACTTATTATAAAAAAATCAAAAGCTGAATATTACAAAAATAAAGTAGACTCTGGCAAATAATAAAAACCCTTGAAACGGAAGAAAATTTAAAAGCAAACGATTTGAAGGAAATAAAAACTAATGATAGGCGAAAAGCTAGCCAAAGAAATAAAAGGGGAAACACTCATAAATAAAAAAAACTATGTTACTTTGGCATCAATGTATCTAAGACCAACAAATTCAGAGGAGATAAATACAATAATAAATAGCCTAAAGAAAAATTCCGCGGCTGGATATGATAACATAAAACCCAAATTAGTAAAAGAAATAAAAAATACTATAACACCCACTCTCTCAAAACTAATTAATAATCACCTCAAAGCTGGGACATTTCCAGAAGAGCTAAAAATTGCCGCATTAATCCAATATACAAGGGTGAAAAGAAAACTGAACCATGTAACTACAGGCCTATAGCGAATCTCACAGTTTTTAGTAAGGTTTTTGAGACAGTACTACATATTAGACTATCATCCGATATACAAGGCTTAAATTTACTATTTAAAGCACAACATGGTTTCCAAAAACATAAAAGTATAACAACAGCCATGATAAATCTCTTAAATTTTATACAAAACTGTATACAGCCCTGTAACTTACAGGGCTGATTTTAAAAAGGCTTTTGACACGGTAGATACGCACATACTTGTAAAAAAGCTGCAACAAATGAGACTGAAAGAAAAAGCAATTGATATCTTTAAATCTTACTTAACTGGAAGAAAACAAGATAAAAGAGTAGGAGATGAAGTTAGTGACCAAGAGAGTATTCATATGGAGTGCCACAGGGTTCCATTTTGGGTCCTTATTTATATTTATTATATATAAATGATCTTCAGTTTTACCATTTTTTTGAAAAAATGATGGTATATGCTGATGACACGGCTCTTTTCTATAAAATCACAAATGACAAAGAAACAGAACACCCACTACAAAGAGACATAGATAAATTACTAAAATTTACTAATACAAACAAATTAACACTAAATAGAGCAAAATGTCACATAATAAACTTTGAAAATAAAACCAAAAATCACAACATTAGAATGACAATAAATTCAGAAAAAATTATTGAAGAAAAAAAATTAAATAATTGGGTAAAATATCTTTAAAATTTTCAACTTTAGGTATAGGGAATAGTAATAGTATTTGATTATGTAAAACATACCTAGTGTTACATTTAAAATAAAAAAGATATTAACCTTTTAAGTTAGCCCTGGGTTTTCTCAGGTAAATTGTTGAAAAATGTTAAAGAATTGATATGGAATCTTTTAAATAATGTTTTAAGATTTCAAAAATTCCAATCCCATTATTGCAAACCTAATAACAAAAAATTTATAGGCTATTTTTCATTGATGCGCATTTCTCAAATTTTAAAGAAAAAAATTAATAACTCGAAAACTATTTACTTTAAGTATAGGACATGGTACAGTAATTTTACTCAGAATTTTATGTAGAATTTAAAATGTAAAAATTATAGGGGTTGTTCCATTTAAAATAACAAAGTTGATGCCACTTCCGGTTAAACCGGAAGTGGCATTTTGTTTAAAATATTTTAGAAAAATAGACTTAAATGGATTACAAACGCTTTTAAAATCTTAAATCGATATCTTTTTTCGGTCTCCAGAAACTTCTAATGGACCACGAATGCGAAACACCCTG